GTCTCAGACGTTTACCACTTAGGTGAAACCCACGAGCACGGGTATGGTGCTGACAAACCTAGAAACATAATCCGGGCGAACCGGGATTCGAACCCACAATCCTAGGTTTCTGGCGTGCCAAGGGACGCGACTCTGCACAGCGAATCACGGCGCCTTAGACGACTGGGCCACCCGTGCCCCCTCGTTGAACAGCAACACGCACAAGACATGATATACACATGGCGACAGATTCACATTTTTTCTCCCACCTAACGACCGGGATTTCTCACACACAAAAACCATTATATAATTAACCAATAAATATAAAGTATATTGAAACTAGAAATCTTAAATGCTATAATATGTATTTTAAAAGGCTTCTAAAATATTGGCTACGCAGTAAAGGGATTAGATACCCACGAAACACTCAGGGTCGTTGGAGTTCTTGCACGAGATGAGCTTAGATAATTGGGGGTCAGCGGAGGTCAGCTGTTATTGACCAGTGACATTTACGGCTATAGTCTGTCACGACGTCGTCCTCCTACGCCGAATATCATTATGAGGGGGTCGTGGACATTTAAATGATGCTGGGGGTAGACACAGTGCGTATACACAAATAGAACACAGTTTATCATAATTAGGCTAACTACAACCATACATAGCTACGTATATTATGATGAAACAGCTTTTTTTTAATTTCTCAGTGTCTACAGTGAAACCCTATTAGTCCAGAAACTCGACTTTTTCCTGTTTATTATGTCTTATTGTGTGTGTGTGTGTGTGATGTTTTAATAATAATGATAATGTGATAATAATAATAATAATCATCATCATCATCATCATCTCAATGTCGGTGTTGATTTTGTTGATGGTACTGTACTGCTGGACGGTACAGAAATGAGTGTCAACCAAGCAAAGTGCCATATCAAGTCGGCCCAGTCTCAGTTTTTCAAGGAGAGGCTTTCTGAAAGACCACTGTATCGAGTTTATGTGCAGTGTGTTGAGAAGATCACCAATCCTGCAGAGTCCTTCGCTTGGATGAAGTCGTCTGGCCTGAAAAGTGAATCAGAAGGCTTTCTATTTGTTGCTTAGGACCAGTCACTTCCAACTCGAAACCGTCAATGTGTGATTTTGCATCAAAATGTAAATATATAATGTAGATTATGTTATGAATTTAATGAGGCTGTCCAACACTTTGTGAGTGGGTGTCTTAAACGACATGATGGGGTGGCTCGATCATTTTATTACCGTCTTCGATATTCTTGTGGTTTTGACACTGAGGTCCTTCCATGGTACATACCGGAATATGTAGAGGGCATCATGGAAAATGATAAATACAAAACCCTTTGGAATAGGCCCATTTACAGCCTCAGACGTATCCAGGCCAACAAACTTGATCTTGTCCTTTTTGATAAATCCAATGAAATCATTTATATCATTGAATTTTCTGTTCCCTTTGACAGTAATGTGATTGACAAGATTTAGGAAAAAATATGCAGACCTCGCTTTCGAAATGTCACGCTTGCATCCCAAGTACCAAGTTGTTCGACTCCCCAATGTTCTTGGTGCCTTAGGTTTGGTACCTCTCAGTCTGTTGACTGACATTGGGAGAGTACCCGGGTTTGCTACCAGGAATTCAGCCCTTCTGACAATCTGGGTTATGCAGAAGGCTGCAGTGTTGGGGAGTCTTCACATTCTCCGAAAAGTTCTGGTTGGGTTTGACCAGGCAGCGCTTCCTGGGAGAAGTCCCATTCGCTGCCTGGTCTGCGTGTAAAGGGGGCAAGGGCCCTGAGCTGATGATGAGCCTAACCAGCCTGACTGTGCCAGGACAACCCAAACCCTCTTTGTTGCATTTTTTATTTTAATATAATAATAATAAGAAGAAGAAGAAGAAGAAGAAGAAGAAGAAGAGGAAGAAGAAGAAGAACGAGGAGGATAGGCACTAGGTTTGCATTCATTTACCATCTCATCCTACCGGGTACCCATTTACTGCTGGTTGAAAATGGGTGGCACAATTCACTGGCCATGGAGACACCACATGTGACAAGTATTTCAGAGTGAGGCAGGACCGAAGCCCTAGAAACTCTCAGGTGTCAAGCTTCCCAAGCAGGGTCACCCATCCGACTACTCTGCGAACCACGTTGCTTAATTTCGCCTGATTTGTGACCTGTGCACTGTATATGTTACCAGACAAGGTGAACCAAGTAGGGTTATTACCATAGCATTTAATGCCATTTAAATAAGCCATTGCGACACCAGAAAGTATTCAACTGTCCTTGTTATCGCAATAAAAATAACATTCTACAATAGGAAAATGTCATGTTTCACAAGTTTAATGATACTTATCTGAATTATTTGTGCACATGTATATCAATTCTAAATGGGAACAGATTCCTGTTTTATTTTCTTAAGTAACTTGATTTTTATTTACAAATGTTAAGGCACTGATCTTACTATCAGGACCAGATGAAATACTTCCTTTTGCGTGTATACTTCGTGACAGCTGTATACATGTTTTAAAATTACAAGCGACAAAATAAATAAAAGGAGAAGACAGATAGCATTTCCATAATCATGTTCGCGTATCCTTCCCCACCGGTGGCACCCGACACAAACACATGCAAAGGCAAGTCAAGTGGTCAAAGTAGGGAATTGCATCGCACATAATTTTTGTTACTGATGCATCAACGTTGAAAACATCCTCTTCATGTCTACCATAGAATCTTTGAAAGTTTACTGAGGCCTTGAATGTTGTTGTTCTCAAATTGAGAAATCGAGGGTAAAATTGTAATCACTTGTTAACTCTCGTTTGGAATATATTCACATAGCAGATGATTGGGTTTTAATGTCAATGTTAATTTTTTATGCCATTTACTCAGTTGTATTTTTCGAACTGCAAAAATAGGAATGTATCACCACCAGAGTGGGCGACAGAACGGGGCGATCCTAATATCTTGCGTTATTGAAATTATATTTACGTTGCATTCCCATGACTCATATTCCGTAATCAAAGTGATGAAAGTTCGTAATTGAAAGGTGTCTCTGTGTAAGAGGCGTTTTCCTATCTCAGACTTGATCTAAAGTGATTATCTGATTATGAATATTCCATGTGACAGGCTGACAAGTTTCCCTTGATGAGATGTGTTATAGTAATGGGATAACAGCATGAATTGTGTAGGCTTACAGGTTTATATAACATTGGGGGCCTGCGTTGTCTCCATCAGTCGTGACTGGGCTACCGACAGCATCAATGGAATGAGAAGTTGTTAGGATAATTATTGAGTCTACGAGCCCCTCCTGTGGTGAGTTAACTCGGCTATTTCCTATGTACTGTGGCCATTCGTGCTAATGTATTGACAGCCTGACATGTTTGTTTTCTGCGGTTTAATTTGTTGTGACTCTTCAGCAGCACCGGTGTTCTAGTGTGTATTTACTTAACTAATATTGAGTAACATTTACATTGTGAATCTGCATGATCAAATTTGCCATTTATGCTTCCTTAGAATTATAAAACAACATGTGATTGGTGGAAAGTCGTTGTTGAACTGTGAACATTGTTGACTTTTTAATCCGTGTAAATATCATTTGATATTGATGTGATATATCATTTCTCTCAGTCCCACATTTAAAAATAACCGCGGCATTCGGCATGGTCATGCAAATACCATTTTCCTTGTAATATAATGAGTGTGGTGAACATTGGTCCCTGATCTGAAATCCGTTCACCATGCGGTTCTATTCTCAAGGACACATTTTTCATATCGCCATAGTGACGGTGACGTTATGTGTCTCTTTACGTAACAACATGTAGAGAGAGTTACCAATGACATTTCCCACAACTTTACTTATTACTACGGTAAAATGATGATGTGTTTTATGCAAATTTTGTATGTTTGGGTGTTACCAGAAGGTCAGGACATGCTTACCCTTCTCGCAAACACCTGGGGTCATCGCTGATTTTCAATGATCCATTCTTGAGGGCCCCAGATTATAAACATTGCGTTCCCAGCTTCAAAATGGGGGTCCGACATAATGTTAAAAGTTGAATGCATAGAGGATATTTGTATGTTTATCTCTTTGAGGAAACTAACTGTGTTTATATTTCCATGACTGGCGCACATTTATTTCTTGCTTGATTGTTTTATCAAATGTGTGATCATATAAACTTTTACTAGAAGATCCATGAAGCATTTGACTGTTTGTATTTTTAAATTATTTTGTAAGGAATTTAATTTTAAGTGGTATCAAATTTTGAAACAGCAGCATTCATTCCTAAACATGCATAAACACTGTTCCCTCCCAGTGGATAAACTCTTTGTATTTTGCAACAATTTCAATGCACTCATATATTTGACGCAGAGTTTCGCGTCCGTTGAATCGCTATTGTCCAATGAGCGATATATTTTGTTTAAAAAAACCGACAACACACGCGCGCACACACATATATTCACACATTTGCGCATGCACGCGCACACACAGAGTCAAACACATACACACACACAAACACGTACACACACAAACGCATACATAGACACACACAAACACATACATAGACACACACAAACGCATACATACACAGACACACAATTACAAACACATACGCACACACACATACACACATGCACGTACACACACCACAAAACACATACACAACGCACAGACACACAGACACACAGACACACACACACACACACACACACACACACACACACACACACACACACACACACACACACACACACACACACACACAAGAATATCAAGTGGTGGTTCCCTAATAACTACTACCACGTGTGAAACTGACTCAGTGTTTCTGTGTTATTAGCTTGTGATACTTCATAAACTGTGACCTTGTGGACAAAGCGTTGTTTTTTACAACATGAATCAATTTTGCGAGGACTGCCACTTTTGCCCGATCTTGCGGCCCTTTAAGTGTTCCTGAGTCCCAGTGGGGGCCGCACCCAAATAACCGACTAATCAGTTTAATCTCACAACGTCTCACTGTTCCTTTTTCGTTTCAGACATCAGCGTGTGCTTTTAACACCAACCTTGTAATGGCCACCAACCACATCCTCATCCTCTTGGCTGTGTTTTTGACGTATCACCTGACATCTGCTGCAATTCTAAGACCTGATTGGTTCCCTTATTTCAGAGACGAACCACAAACAGGGAGAGGTAATCGACGCACTTTAATTGTTTTGTCCAAATCAGACGCATGTGCATTTCTCAATCATTTTAAATATTCTAGAAGGGGTGAGCACTCCTCCAGACACAGTTAATGAGTGTAATTAAATCTTGTTTCGCGTTTATTGCTGGAGGAACACGCCGACTCATTCCCATTTTCATTTAAACCTCCGTATTGCCATACCGCCATTTGTCATACCTATGTTCGTCGTAAACCTAGAATGCGGGAATCAGCCCAATTTTCAAATAATAATGCATATCTGTCACACCCCCATTCGTTACAGCCTTGATGCAGGACTCCTTCTTGATTCCACTTAAACCTCCGATTTGTCATATCCCCATTTGTCACAGCCCAAGATGCCAGATTCATTCCCAGTTAAATATAAACCCCCGATTAGTCAATATGTGTTTAGTCATAATACCGAGATACCATAGGCCTATAGTACATGTTATGTAGTAATGGGTGTATACACATTTATAAGGTAGCATATGTGGAACTTCTTAACGTCATAGCTTGCAGTATGTACATAAACAGTTTTTACGTTATTACTGCATTGTTACTTGACGTTAACGAAACAAATAAATGTAAATTTGGATAACGGGTATAACATTTATCAATGAACTGTTTTCTGAGTTCAGCATACAAGGGACAAAGTAGTAAGAAATGATATTTGTTTACTTTCTACAGTGTTTAACTCACAAAACTGACAAATCCTGTGTTCTCTTACGATCCCCATATATCTTCAAGTGTCGGTAAAGAGTTCGTGTGAACGACATCTGAATCTTGCAAGTGCCATTAGAAATGTTTTTTTGTGTTATATTGAATAAGAATTGCTCTTCACAGAAACTGTTTTCAAATAGGGAATAACTTGATAGTTTATTGGACACTGATTAGGAAAAATGCCAATTTTGAAGGGAACTGTTTTTTGTGTTATATTTAATAAGTATTGCTTTTCACAGAAACTGTTTTCAAATAGGGAATAACTTGATAGTCGTATTGGACACTGATTAGGAAAAATGCCAATTTTAAATGTCAATGTTTTTGTGTTATATTTAATAACTATTGCTTTTCACAGAAACTGTTTTTAAAGGGGGAATAACTTGATAGTTTGACACTGATTAGGAAAAATGCCAATTTTGAATGTACATATCTTTCAGGGTCTGGTAAAAGCATCTATGAAATAATCTGGTATATACGTGTCCTGTTCTGACCATATATTACCATAACCACATGAATAAAGTTGATGCTTAACAGAAGATGCCCAGTTAGTCTGCCCTTGTTGATCATAGAGTAATAGCATGTTATAACATTTCTTTGGATATCTGGTTGCAAGTATTTTTACGTAATTTAATCCAGTATTTTATCGTCTTTAACTTTGCAAAAATAGTTAATGGGTATCGTCCACATTCATCGAAAATCATTAGTCTAGACTAATGTAAATTATGTAAATTTATTAACATTATATTGAAAATTGTAAAAACTTCCGGATAACCTCTGTCCATCGCAATGTAAAATACTGTTTGTACCTCATATGCCGATGGACTCGGCCTGAGAGAAATAAAGTGCTGTTCTGTTCTGTTCTGTTCTGAATCTTTTTCATGCTTATAAATGTAATTTTTCTATAACATCAGTCATTTCTAATTCCCAAACCTCTGCTCCCTAAAACAAAATTTGATCTATTTGTGTATCGAAAATCTTAAAGAATGTTTTATAGGATATATTTCTATATGTTGAAGACTTCCAATTAAGACCTGCTTAGCTTGTACAGCAGCTTGGTTAGCATGCATCTTCCATGACAATCTGTTTGTAAAATATACACCTTAGAACTTTTGAACGATTCAAAATTTAATGAATGCCCTTGATAAAAACTTGATAAAACCTTGATAAAACCATTTCTCCCTTCTAGCTAGTACCACCGTTTATAAAAAATAATAACCTTTGTCTTATTCTTGTTGACAGATAGATTCCATTCTTTGCAATGACATTTCAACTGATTAATTTGCTTTTGTAGTCAAGGTATTGTGCTTGAAAACATTACTGTATCATCGGCAAACAAAAGAAGAAATAACTGTATAGTTTCCGGGTGAAGTTGGATGCCATGCTGAATTTGTTGAGCTAATTCATTGATATAAAAGGAGAACAAAACGTGACCATAATATATTTCCGCTAACAGAATCAAAGGCTTTAGAGAAATATACAAAAATGCGAATAATTTATCACTATTCTTTTCTAGGTAATTTTGTATTATTGTTTGCAACATAAATATATCATCAATTGTCGAGTACCCTTGCCTAAAATCAGATTGAGACCCACTCATCCTTTCGAAAGCACCAGCCCATGATACTAACCTTTTGTTAAAAATGCTTGACAACACAATGCCTCGATAGTTATTTGTATCATTCACCGAACCTTGTTTGTGGAGAGGGACGATAATACCAAGTGCCCAGTCTTCAGGAAAGTATGATGTTTCCAGCATTATATTAAAAATCAACTCTATATATGGTACAAGGATATCTGTAGAATATTTAAATAACTCTGAAATATCCAGCTGATTTACCAATTTTAAGATGAGAAATGCTTTATCTCATTTCATCACTTGTAATCGGGGTCTCGAGTATGCCTCGTGATAGTCTTCATATGTTATGTTGAAAAAAGTCACAATTACCGTCATCATGGGCTGTAAAGAACTTTTTAAAGTGAAAAGACCAGTTTTCGATACTAATATCACTATGACTGTGTGGAGTTGCCCCAAGCTGTTTCAGAGTTGATCAAAAGACTTTTGAATTATGAATGTTTTTCTCAAGAAATTCCTGTTTCATTTCATAATATTCAACGTTCATTTTTCAACATGTTTCGTTATACTGATTCCGGATGCGGTGATAAGTTTCCAGTAAAACCAAATCTTTTTGGCTTTTAAATATATTTAAACATCCAAATATTTCAGTTTTTCATAACTCACAGCAACTATCATACCACTGAGATGCGCTTTGTTAATGCACTATATTTAAACGTCCGATTAGTCATATCCCCATTTGTCACACTCCAAGACGCCAGATTAATTCTCATTTTTATTTAAACCTCATCTGTCATACATGGTTTGTTATATCCCAAGAATGTCACACTACCTGCTTCTTTAACGGCACAGTCTATTACTTGTGAGTGTAGCGTTTTCAATGAACACAATGTGGATTGTAGCAATCCAATTGTTTCGGCGGATAATGAAAACTATGTACCCATAAAGTATGCACAAACAGAGTATGTATACACACAGAGTATGTACACATAGAGTATATATACACAGAGTATGTACACATAGAGTATATATACATAGAGTATGTACACATAGAGTATATATACATAGAGTATGTACACATAGAGTATATATACATAGAGTATGTACACATAGAGTATATATACATAGAGTAAGTACACATAGAGTATATATACATAGAGTATGTACACATAGAGTATATATACATAGAGTAAGTACACATAGAGTATATATACATAGAGTATGTACACATAGAGTATATACACATAGAGTATGTACACATAGAGTATATATACATAGAGTAAGTACACATAGAGTATATATACATAGAGTAAGTACACATAGAGTATATATACATAGAGTATGTACACATAGAGTATATATACATAGAGTATGTACACATAGAGTATATATACATAGAGTATGTACACATAGAGTATATATACATAGAGTATGTACACATAGAGTATATATACATAGAGTATGTACACATAGAGTAAGTACACACAGAGTATGTACACATAGAGTATATATACATAGAGTATGTACACATAGAGTATATATACATAGAGTATGTACACATAGAGTATATATACATAGAGTATGTACACATAGAGTATATATACATAGAGTATGTACACATAGAGTATATATACATAGAGTATGTACACATAGAGTATATATACATAGAGTATGTACACATAGAGTATATATACATAGAGTAAGTACACATAGAGTATATATACATAGAGTATGTACACATAGAGTATATATACATAGAGTATGTACACATAGAGTATATATACATAGAGTATGTACACATAGAGTATATATACATAGAGTAAGTACACATAGAGTATATATACATAGAGTATGTACACATAGAGTATATATACATAGAGTATGTACACATAGAGTATATATACATAGAGTATGTACACATAGAGTATATATACATAGAGTATGTACACATAGAGTATATATACATAGAGTAAGTACACATAGAGTATATATACATAGAGTATGTACACATAGAGTATATATACATAGAGTATGTACATATAGAGTATATATACATAGAGTATGTACACATAGAGTATATATACATAGAGTATGTACACATAGAGTATATATACATAGAGTATGTACACATAGAGTATGTACACATAGAGTATGTACACATAGAGTATATACACATAGAGTATGTACACATAGAGTATGTACACATAGAGTATGTACACATAGAGTATGTACACATAGAGTATGTACACATAGAGTATATATACATAGAGTATGTACACATAGAGTATATATACATAGAGTATGTACACATAGAGTATATATACATAGAGTATGTACACATAGAGTATATATACATAGAGTATGTACATATAGAGTATATATACATAGAGTATGTACACATAGAGTATATATACATAGAGTATGTACACATAGAGTATATATACATAGAGTATGTACACATAGAGTATGTACACATAGAGTATGTATACACATAGAGTATATATACATAGAGTATGTACACATAGAGTATATATACATAGAGTATGTACACATAGAGTATATATACATAGAGTATATATACATAGAGTATGTATACACATAGAGTATATATACATAGAGTATGTACACATAGAGTATATATACATAGAGTATGTACACATAGAGTATATATACATAGAGTATGTACATATAGAGTAT